CATTTTTGCAAAGGAAATTGTTGTTCAGAATCGTCTCAGCTACCCCCTATTTCCGGCTCCTCCCCGAGTTTTGGGACACCCTGTATAAACCACATTCGGTTTGAAAGCAATAAATGCAGTATGTATTTTTAACAAAGATCCTGTAACATTTATCCTAAAAGGACGTCAATAGCCTCGAGTCGTGATAGTCGTACTCTGAGAGAAGAAGAATAGAATAGTCGTGATCTATTCTTGCCTCGAGAACCACAGCATTCAACCATAATCCTGGGTGCAACTTTATCGCGTTTACAGATCATTCATTCAGTCGAGTGGACTTTTGAGAAACGAAGAGAGTTTGTCTTTTTTTCTTTTTTTTTTTTAAATGGGTATCGACATACCGCACACGATCGCGCGGATACAATGGATAATAATGGATACTATTGTCATGCGAGTGGCTTCTTTAAAAGTCTCGGAATCATGGACGCGCCACGTGCTCCCAAGTCACCGGAAACGTGCCTTTCGAGGTGAGCTTTATATCCTGGCATACCTGCGCACGATCAGACACTCTGTGTGAAGTGCAGGAATCACGGTAACTGGCCCTCTCGGTCCCTTGTTTTCCGTAAAGCTGGGGGAAAACTTACCTGACGTTCTTGGCCTGGCTCGTAGGACGGTAATGGATGCGTTCGAGAAAACTGTCGTTGTGCAAGCAAAAGTAACAGTGCCTACCGTAGGCAGAATCTCGCTGAAAGGATGATTGTTCGGAGCGAAAATTTACACTAAAATGAAAATATTTTAACGGTAATCGAGTCCATTACTTTGAATTCAGTCTATCGAGTTTACGAATAATACCGTATTATATTATCAAAACTTGGTAAAATATCGAGATAAAATTGCTTTTGTTCATTTCTAAGTAATAATTTACTAGTTTAAGTAATATTTTTAACGAGAATCGAGATTTTAGGAAGTGAAATACATTTTAATTTCGATAACCTGGAGCATAAAATGAGATTGTTTAGAACTCGCGTTCGAAATACATGCTTGGAGTACTTCGTGTTAACGAGAATAAGTTAAGGAATGATATAATTTTATGACGGAAGAATCCATATTTGGCATGTTTCGTTTGGGAATGAAGTTAAATTCAAATATGATAATACAAAATGAAATTACTTATTATGTATTATTGCGAATAATATTTTATCCG